TACGCTGGGCGTAATTTTGGTTACGCTGGGCGTACGCTTCGGATAAGTTTTGGTATGTGTGCCGCAATCTTCAAAAATTCATAACTTTCGCATACGAGCTCCGTTTTCGACATTATTTATATCCACGCGTAGGTGAGATTATGCTCTACAACTTTCATTTAGACTCAATTGGCTAATTTTGATTTTATTTTTATTATATTATTTTTAGTAGGCCGGGACAGGAAAACTCCGTTATAAACTCATAACTTCTTCATCCGACGTCCGTTTTTGTCTGTCTTTTTACCGTTGGACTACTATCAACAAGATCTTCGATTCTCGTTTAGATGGTTTCGGCTAAAAACCGTTCGATCTCAAATCGAGTATTCGGGCTGCATACCGCTAAGTCGAAACTTAGAAAAATGATAACTTCCTCATACAAAGTCAGATTTGGACATTCTTTTTATGCACACTCATGGTTTAACGAACTCTACAACTTTTGTTTAGATTGCTAAGGCTAAATATCAATCTAACGTAAATTCACTTTTTACGTCATTCAACGTCGTGTCGGTTCTGTCGCGAAACTTCGACAGGTCATAACTTCTTCGTTATAACTCGGATTTCGGCGTTCTTTATATGCACGAAAACCTTGTGACATATACTACAACTTAGTTAAGACTATTAATTCTAAATAATCTTCTACCAAAAATTCATTTTTGATGCTTATCGTCTCTAAATTGACTAGCCCTAATTTACGGGCGTTACATAATAATACACATATAATCATAAACAGCATACTATGGGTCCAATCAACCATCAGGTTGGAATAACCCAGGCCCTCAACCATCGGGTTGGAATGCCAACATACTATGGGTCCAATCATCCTCGAGATGGAATACCCTAGGCCCACAACCAACAGGTTGGAATGCCCACATACTACGAGTCCAATCATCCTTGGGATGGAATACTCACAGCCCACTACCAACAAGTTGGAATGCCTAGGTCTATTGGCTTTAGCACAAAGTAGATAAGCCTCAACCGCCAATCAAAGATGTGCACATATAACAGATAATCATATAACCATCTATAGACAAACAAACTGATCTAATGGATCATAGCCACATAATAACATAATACCATCCTATCTACTAGGATACCGATCTAATGGATTATACTAGCATAACATATCAGGATAACAATCCAAAGGTTCGGCCTTGGTGCCTTCGACCCTTGAGTATAATGAGGAAAACTCACCTCACAACTGTCGAATGTAAAGGATCGAACTCCCGAATCACTACCTCACCACAAATCCCGAACTATCAAATAACGAATATTAAGTTAATAAATGGGAATACTAATCTTGACTAAGAATCCACATAGTCCATTTCGCCTTTTTCTCTAATTTGGACCAAGGCCCAATATCAAATTCACTATATAAAAGTCCATATACATAAGCCCATTAATGGCCTAATTTACCAAATTGGGCCTCACTCCCTTTTTGGGCCCTATTCTAATATCCATATTCAAATCTGGCCCAAAACACCATTATTCAGAAAGCCTATCAAGGCCCAAGCCCAACTAGTCCAAAGGTAGCCTAATCCCGAAGCCCAATTTGACAAAGGCCTAACAGAGGATGTTCGTTGGGCGTACTCCTCTAGTATGTTGGGCGTACTCTTCCTGATGTTGACCACCATCAGGGTGGTTGACTCAGTACACTGGGCGTACTGGATTTATGTGGGATGCATGCGGGGTTTTGCTAAAACCCTAATAAGTGCTTAATTGTGACATCCCTATTTTTCTCGGCAATAAAAGATCGATTTAGTTTATGCTTTTAAAATAAAATCTAAGTAATTTTCCAAAAGATGTTGAGGAATTTGTTCCCAAAACAAAATTTAATAAAAATTTAACAAAACATTTCTTAAGAAATAAAATTTTTCATTATATATCAAAAACCTCGGGATGTCATATTCCGATACATATCAAAAGCATAAACAGTAAATTATAAGCCTTACACAATATATTTACAACTACTAGCTTATAATTCAAAATTCCATCTTCAACGTCCAAACTACGCTCAGGGTCCACTACTTGTAATACAGAAAGCCGAGTGGGTTAGGCTTGGGAGCCTGATGAGCATATAATGTTTTTAACCCACAAATAAATAAATTTATTAATTTCATCAACAAAAATAGATTTATTAATTTCATCACCCAACAATAAATTTATCACTCCAAAATAAATTTATTAACTTTATCAACCAACAATAATCTTGATTACCCATTCCCGTTATCCTCATTTTACGTCCCTAAATACCTATCACAAGGGACCTAGTCTAAGGATTTTCATCGGGGTGACAACACTGCTTCAGTGGATTTCTCACCAATTTATGTCAAATAAGGCAAACATGTGGGAGATGGAGTATACCATTGAACACTAAGTTCACAAACACCTACATGTTGCGAGCCTGCTAGCGTTCCACTGGACTGTCTAGAAAAGTCTGTGGTCGTCATCTATACTCCGTTAGATGACTGAAACAATAACAATACCAAGGCCTCTTATCATTTTAACACGCATCAACTATTTCATCTACCCATGTTATACCCAACATATTTATAGATAAAAATACATATACAGTTTAAATCATTTTAAAACCTGTATAAAACATTCATTCAACACCCATCTTAAATAGACAAACAATAAATATACACATAACACGTATTTTATAGAAAATATTTCATATCTATGTGTAAGATAAAAGTGACTACACACTCACTTGATTTAACGAAAATTGGGCAGCACCTCGTTTCTTAAAATAATATTTTCTGATGAAAACCAGGATGTTTTCTCAAAAACTGGGCTTCATGTGGGAAGAGTTTCGGCTAGAAAACTATTTTTCTCGGGATCTTCGGGGCTCAGAGCTTCCTTCGGATGTTCAATATGTAACCGAGGCATTAGGGTAGTGTAAAGGGGCTTAAAAGAGAGCTTGAAGGTAAGATAATAGGTTTTTGGAACCTAAATCTATAGGGTGAAAATTTGAGATTCATATCGTGAACCATGTATGTTCACATCGTGAACTTTGATCCTGGTCATCCCCTAGGCTTGTCACGTGTCTTCTAGGCTTAATAAGTGTCAATCAACTAGTTCACGTTGTGAACCATGCTTTGTTCACGTCGTGAGTTGGTCAGGCCTTGAAGTTTGTGTTCCAAACTTAAAAATTCATATATTTTGCATACGATCTCCGTTTTTGACGTTCTTTATATCCACGTGTAGGTGAATTTAAGCTCTACAACTTTCGTTTAGATTTCGTCGGCTAATTTTGAATTATTTTTAAAGTTATATTTTTAACAGCCCGGGATATGAAAAGTTCGTTAAAAATTCATAACTTCTTCATCCGACGTCCGTTTTTGTCTGTCTTTTTACCGTTGAACTACTATCAACAAGATCTTCAATTCTCGTTTAGGTTATTTCGGCTAAAAATCACTCGATCTAAAATTCAATTTCCGGGCTACATACTGTTATGCCAAATCTTAGAAAATTCATAACTTTATCATACGAAGTCAGATTTGGACATTCTTTTTATGCACGCTCTCGGTTTAAAGAATACTACGATTTTTTAGATCACTAATTCTAAAAATCACTTTATCGTAAATTCATTTTTTACATCATACAACGTTGTGTCAGTTTTGTCGCGAAACTTCGACAGGTTATAACTTCTTCGTTATAACTCGGATTTTGGTATTCTTTATATCTTCAGAATCCTTATTTCAACCACTACAACTTTCTTCAGAGATATCGGGTTTATCTAACGTTTATTTCGATGCTTATTTTTATTCTTAACTTATTAAATCATAATAATTAAGCAATAAACACATAATAATCAGATAATACATCTTTATTATTTCAAAACAAATTACAAAGGTTGGCCTAGACTATTACATCATCATTAGTTCCTAGCCTAGAAACATGGGCGTTACATTAATAGCTTAAGCACTGAAGCCCAGATTCCAGATCCATCGACCAAATGTGTCTTTGAACCATAAAGTCGCGAACTTTAAGACTTTGGACGTCCATAAAGCTATTAATGTCCTTAATCCATTAAGACCTTCCTACTCCATGCATGAGGCATATTTAGCTATTGGGAGATGATTTTTATCACTTTGGACAACTCATTTCATCCAACTCATATCATGCATCAACTTAGGACTTTTGGGACAAGAAAGGGTTTCTTAAAGATAAAATGGCAAGATCTATAACATACATGGATAAAGTTTGAAGCTTTTTACCTTCTGGAGCTTCTAGGGCACCAAAAACTCCTAATCTACCAGCTTGTTCTCCTTCTCCAACTCCTTGATGCAACACCTTATTCTCAAACTACTCAAAATACACACTAGAAGCTCACACACTCAAGGAAATGATTAGGGTTTGGGAAAAATAGCTCTAGACATTGGAGGTTGAGGTAAGGGGGGTTATGAGCTCATAAGGTTGTTTATATAGCACTCAAATTCTAAATATTAGGATGTCCACCTGACGTGAGTACGCCCAACGTACACAAGTGTACACCCAACATACACAAGTGTACGCCCACCCTAGTACGCCAAACGTACCTTATGTATGCTTAGCGTACTCTCTTGATCCCAAAATTGCAACTTTAGCCCTTAGGCTTCTCATGTGTCAACTCTTCTAACCCCAGGGACTACAAATGACAAAATAATAATAGAAGAGAGGATTCAGAAATACCTGCAAAATCTCGGGGTGTTACACATATAATATCTTGTTAATTTATTTTTATTTATTATTACCATATGAGTTAACCACAACATGTACCTTTTTTATCTATGCTTTTGTTGACTATTAGAACTTGAAAGGATAAAAGGATAAAAATTAACTTTTAATTGTCAATGTAAAGAAACATCTTTTGACCTCTATTTTTGTTACCTTTTCCACAAACTTGTTTCTAGGTTCCACCGTCTTTTTAAGGTTGATGAGGGAAGCGAAGTTGTAGGCTTATACTTGCATGTCACAACATGCGAAGAGGAAAGACGCAACCAGAAGATGTTGCTTCACAATTATCAATCCCTAGAAATGGTGATAAAAATGGTAATAATGAATTATATTTTTTGTTAACTGCTAGTTAACCGTTGGACATATTTTCCCCTGAAATTCAAGCCCAACTTGGTGTTATATAAATTAAATTGTCATTGACAAAACTCTTGGTGAATACTAGACATTGCATGTTAACTTTTGGGAATATTTTCCCCTCTTTCACAACTAGGAATTGCATGTGAATAGATGGAGTACCGAAAAGTGGATAGATTTGCCCTTAAAACTGGACATATTTATTAACATAGGTAGACACAAAATTGGACATATTTTCCCCTAAAATGGTACATTAGAATTTTGCCTATTTCGCCCTTCAGTTTAGTTCTAGTACCAAAAACCGGTAGCATACTCAGTAGCGGTATCGATACTTGGTATTGTTTTCCACCTGTTTTAGTATTCCATATCTCGGGTCGCTGCCAATTCGATACCATGCACATCCATTCTATATAGACCTGACAATTCGTGTTTCCATGTCATGTATACATGTCAAACAAGAATTTACATGAAAACAATTTATGAAACACGAACACGATACAAATTGTAAAACATGTTTTGGATATCAAAAACGAACACGACATATAATTAATCTGTGTTACATGTGATATGATCCGAATAGACACCCTTTTAACCACATTATATGAAGTCACAAATTTACATAAGTTAGTACACCTATTGTCTTATAACATTTTTTAAGCTTGGAAAACATGCATTTGATTCGTGTGTATATGTGTTTATATGTGTATGTACGTGTCACATGTCTCGTATCTATAAATGTAGCGTGTCACACATTTAATTCATGACTTCTACGTGTTTAAACAAGTAAATTCGTATTTGACACGTGTAAAACACATACCACAAATTAAGAATTCGTGTCGACACAAAACATGAATTTTTAAAACATATACACGAGAAACTTATATAATATTTTTTTGTATCAATCATGTCATGTATAAAATTGCTGACTCTACTACTATCCCTATTAGTTGATCCGACCCAACATAAATTTTCTGCTATAAACTAATTTCTTTTTTCCATTTGTATAATCCAAACCAAACAAAAATTCCACCCATTAACAACCAAAACAAAACAAATTTGTTGCTAAATAAATATAATTTATGATTATTTTCTATTTTATTAAAATTTATTAAAAGTAATTATTTAAATTCGAAACAAATTAAATTATTCATTTCAAATATAAAATTATATGAAAATAGATAAGAAGTCATTCTACATTCATCACATACATTTTATATAATAGACCATTCAATTTATAAAGTTCGGATAATTTTTAGAATCATAAAGATTTTAAACGAAATTTACATTTGTGGTAGCAAATACGAAATCGAAAAGACTTAAAAATAATGATTTGAGATAGAATATGAAGTATGTTGATATATAATCTACTTTAAAAAGAAAATTATGAAATTTAATAATTCTTTAATTTTTATTAAAATAAAGTTCAATTTTATAACTATAAACCAATTAAAAATGTTACTCCAATAATAATAATTATGTGAGCTTGGTTGTTTAATTATTTAATTTATATTTTTTCTATTTTAGAAATAAATGATCTCTAAACCCCAATAGTTACGTTGTCAAAGATAAATTAGCTAGTTTGGCTAAAAAAAGTAAAAACGAGCTTTGAGATAATTCAAGTCAATCATGGCTAATGTAAAGTTTAGCTCGTTAAATGCTCAAATCATCCAACACCCGTATTTTGGAAGGACCATTTGTTTAGGGTTGAAAGTTTATGGATTTATCAGATCCCTTGGAAAGTTCATGGCAACAATTGAACAAATTGAAATTGTTGAGGGACTAAACTGAAACAACAAATAACAGCACCTCCCGTCTCTTAAAACAGTGGCTGTCAAAGCCCTACACGTTCCGCCGTCGTGAAGTATCCGTGAACTCCGTTTAAACTATCATTTCCTGATCGCCGTCGATGAAAAAGGTTGCCGGAGGGAGAAGAAATTGTCATTAGGTACGCTTACGCGGTTCTCTAATAATTCGGAAACCATAACAGGAATCTTCGAAAGCGTTTATCGTTTCTTATAGCGTCGTTATATGTGATGTTTTGTAAGGTGATAATGTGCTCGATTGATGACACTTCAAATGATTCTTACAACAATTGGTATACTTATGTGATTATTAGTTACCTTAATAGATCGATATAAACTGTAAAACTAATGCATAATTGCTTCTAGTTAAATTTTAATACGAACATTACTCCATTTGTACTTCTCTAATTTTCAATTCAGTTGATATACTCGTGTAAGTGTGATTACTGCACTAAATTGATTAAGTCAGCAAAACCTAATTCAATAAGAACATTGCTCCATTGGTTTCACTTCTCATTGATGTAGCTCATGCACTTATCAATCTGTCACTGAAAAGTTACAAACTTATGATTCTCTTAACACCTAAAATTTGAAGTCTGCTTTTTTTTCTTCGATTGAGTGTTTAATTTATCACTTTTGCTGTTGGATTGTTGCTCAGGCATCAGAAGTGTAGCTAGAATGGAGGTAATCATGACATCTCCTGTCCAGAAGTGTTTAATGATGGAAAATGGTGGAGGTGATGATTCTGCTAAGATGACTAAATCAAAAAAAAGGAGAGAGAAAAAAAAGCTCAAGTTGAATGCTGAAAATCCTGATAGCAAACGCATACTTCCTCATTTTTATATCATCTCACAGTCATCCCTTGCATCTGTTGATCAGAAACATGCAGCATCAGTTCCAATTTCTGGTGATGCAAATACAGGGTCAAAAAGAGAAGATCATATGGAAACTTCTAGTAGCAAGATGATTTCAGATAAAATTGCAACTCCTGATGCAAAGATAGTAACAAAAGGAGAAGAGGGAACAACTGCAACAGATAATACAGTGTCAAAAAAGAGAAAGAGGCCGAGAAAAAAGAAGAATCAAGCCTCAAATGACATGGTGACTGTAGAGAAAGATTCAAGTAAAACTGCAACTGATGATGCGAAAATGGTGTCAAAAGGAGAAAATCATATGGAAATTTCTAGTAACAAGATGATCTCAGATAAAACTGCAACTCCTGATGCAAAGACAGTGTCAAAAGGAGAAGATGAAACAAAAGTTGCAAATGGTGAAATGGGTTCAGGTACAACCCCAACAGATAATACAATGCCAAAAAAGAAAAAAGACAAGAAAAAAAAGAAGAAGAAGAATCATGAAGCCTCAAATGACATGGTTACCAATGGTGAAATGGTTTCAGATACAACTGCAACAGATAATACAGTGTCAAAAAAGAGAAAGAGGCCAAGAAAAAAGAAGAATCAAGCCTCAAATGACATGGTAAATGTAGAGAAAGATTCAACTAAAACTGCAACTGATGAAGCAGAAACGGTGTCAAAAGGAGAAAATCACACAGTAGTTACAAATGCAAGTATGGGTGCAAAAAGGGTAAAGATGGAAAGTGTAATACAAAGAGGAAAAAAGAAGGTATCTGGAACTACAAAACCAGGGAAAAAGCTTTTGATTTTTGATATAAATGGATTGCTTGCAGATATTGTGTCACCTCGCCCACAAGATGTGCAAGCAGATTATTATATTCCAAAACGAGCAAGTAAGATTTCGTTTGCATTTTGCTATTTAAGTTATTTTATTTTTCCAATCAAACCATAAAAGATCCATATAATTTTCCAAATTAACCATTTTGACCTTATAACCTTATTATATACATGTCAAAACGGTTAATTTGGAAATTTTATCTAGTGAAACCATAAAAAAATGTGTGACTTTTATGGTATTTTGATTTGGAAATCATATAACCATGAATTGTTTTTTTTACAAAGCTTCATTTTGATACAGTATTTAAAAGACCCTATTTGGATGGTTTTTTGCGGTTTTGTTTTGAGAGATTTAATGTTGGCATCTGGTCTTCAAGAACAAAGCAAGTTTTGTACCCAGTGGTTGACTTTTTGTTAGGAGATTTAAAGAAGAATCTCCTTTTTATTTGGGTGAGTGTTTTTTACTTTTTAGTTATATATTTATCACATACATACGCTAATTTCAACTTTTTAGTGATACTTTTTTAAGTGGAAAATTTCAGGATAATTCATTTTGCACGAATACAGGGATGAAAACTCTTGAAGATAAATACAAGCCAATGGTTTTCAAGGATTTGAGAAAGATTTGGCTGAAAAATGGTCTTGGGAATTCTTGGATGGAAGGAACTTTTAATGAATCAAATACGTTGTTGTTGGATGATTCTCCATATAAAGCATTGTTGAATCCTGTAAGATTATCAATCAATCACCTTTTTTTTTTTTTTTTAATTATTTTTTTATTTACATTATTTATCTTGCAGAAGAATACTGCAATCTTTCCTCTATCTTACAGCTACAAGGATAAGAATGATGACTTTCTAGGTATGAAATGTTATGCTGTGTTTGGTTTGTGGATTCCGGTGGAATTGGAATTCATGATTCCATTCCTTCACATCTTTGTTTGCTAAATGGATGGAGTTTAATTCTCTGCCAGATTCGTCAAATTTCCATGTTTTGTCCTTGAGTATATCTGGTTTTTGTAATTTTGGTCCCAAAATGTTTTCTTCTAGTTTTGGTCCTTTGTTTGAGGTTTTATTACGTTTTTGGTCCCCTTTCCAAGTAATATGACTATACTTTTGGGACCAAATTTCCAAAAATCAGCTATACTTAGGAAGAAAAGTAGTCAATTTACTTGGTGCATGGACCTAAAATGTTATGTAAACCTCGAATAAGTATCGAAATTGCAAAAGAACTCCTCATAATTTACAATTCCTTTGACAATTTGTTGTATTTTTGCAAATTTGGTCCTTGTTCCAAGTAATATAATGATATTTTTGTACCAAAATTTGAAAAATCAGCTATACTTAGGGACCAAATGTAGTCGTTTCACTTGGAACATGGATAAAAAGTATTAAAAAAACTCAAATAAAGACCAAAGTTGCAAAAGTAAACTATAATGAAGGAGTAAAAGTGTAATTTATTCAAATATCATTATATATAAGTGAATACTAAACATTATTTAACTGCTATTATTGAATTCCAATCCAATAAAACACCCAGACATACTTTTGTATTTTGTTTACTTTAAACTAAAATATACTTTAAGAATTATTTAATGTTTGTTTTTTTTATTTATTACAGAAGTCAATTTATTTTTGAGTAAATTACACGAATGGTCCCTATGGTTTGGGGTAATTTGCGCGTTTGGTCCCTAACTTATTTTTTTAACTCGGAAAGTCCCTATTGTTTGTTTTTGTTACGCGTTTAATCCCTACTGTTTGTTTTTATTACGTGTTTGGTCCTTGTCTTACCTAAAAAGACTATTATTAAGTAGGGAAAGATGGTGTGGTAGGTAAGATAAGGTGAAGGGGTGGGATTAGGGGTGTATTTATTTAAATAAATTAAAAAATCAAGGGCAAAATAGTTTTTTTAGGTAAGATAGGGACCAAACGCGTAACAAAAACAAACAATACGGACCTTCCGAGTTAAAAAAATAAGTTAGGGACCAAACGCGCAAATTACCCTAAACCATAGGGACCATTCGTGTAATTTACTCTTTATTTTTAGCTAAATAACCCAACTAAGTGAGACAAATCAAAAAGTACATTAAATAGCCTTATAATGGTTGTTTTTTTTTTAAGGTCCCAATGGTGATCTCCGAAGGTATCTTGAAGGGTTGGCAGAGAGTGATGATGTGAAAACGTATGTAGAGCAACATCCATTTGGCCAATCTGCCATCGATCAAACACACCCAAGTTGGGCCTTCTATGCAAAAGCTCTCAAGAGTCAAAAATAGTACAACTTAACCAGCATATGGTACAACTCTGAGTAGCACAAAACACAATACGAGCTTAACTCAAAATTTGTTGTAGGCGAAAAGTAGTTTCTGCCTTTTTGTAGTAGTGAAAACATGAAAAGCTCGTGCAACTCGTTTTTTGTATTGCATCAAGTGGTTGTACTCTATGCATGAAATACTTGCACATTTTGGAAAACAATGTTGATCAATATATTTTTGTAGTAAAGCACGACTATACAATCAAAGTTGTTACCATGTAGCAGCAAATTAATAGAAAATTTCTACTTCTCTATTTGTACATGCGTACATGCATTTAGTGATTTAGATTTAGATCATCAAACACTTTTATATGATGTTAATGTACTCTAAATAAATGGTCCATGATAAGGAAATATATCCACATAGAAGAATGTATATCTATTCTCTTTAATTTTTCTTGTACATGCAAGATGTCCTTTAATTGTTGACAAACTCAATTTTATTAACATAAGTAAACCAAAGAGTTCATATGTAACTGAATATATTTGGTTTTGCCAATATTTATAGTACGACTATTGTTATGTGCTTTAAAAAATCAACAAGCATGCCAATAAGGTATTTTTGTGCATATTTGATTAATACATTCATGGATTCGATACTATTGGAAGTCATTATATTATAATGCAACCTAGGAAAGTGCTCAACTGCCCACTTTTGTATCCACTTTCTTCAAGCTTTTACACACTTAAGGTACACTACAATGTAACATCACAATATGTTCTTCAACCTAGGAATGTGCTTCTTCATCCATCTGAATGTGGGCCATAATACCCAATCCGATTTCTCCAGGTTGTAACAGTACATCAAGAGTCTTAAAAATTAATCTTCCCATATACCCTTTAGAAGTTCGAGCACAAGTCACTTCCCACATCATTCTTAAGAGTAGGGAATGTCAACTATGAATCATTTTTTCATACATTGATTTCTCTTCCACCAATACATTCTATTATACCAATACATTCTATTATGTTCCTGCATGGAATCTTTCACTAAATAACTAAATACTTTCTTATGTACTTCACAATGTTTTAGATACATTTGTATTCTTGAACAAATATGATAGTCCTCAAATACTCAAAATTAGAATAATTCAATACCTTTAGGATGTTCGTGATAAACCATTCACACTTTTTATAAATACATACTGTTAGTTTTTGGGAAATTAAATAACAATATAACTTTGCATCACTTTTCAAAATTTGTAATTCATCTCTATAGTGTGGGATACACAAATTCAGAAGTGGGATAATTCAAGAACTTCAATTATGATTACAAGCCTAAATAGAATTAGAAACACAAAATATCTGTTGTAATGTCGTTTCAATTTTGAGTATGAAAAAATCAACCCATTTTTGGAATATTTATATTTCTTTTATATAAGGAAGAAAGTGGTTAAATAGTGGTTACAGGGGATGACTCTTTCGACTAGTCTATCTCGTGTGCCACTTATCTTTTCTTCGACTAAGTCAGGCTACTTCGATCTTAACGATGTACTAATGAACTTAATAAGCAAGAGAATCGATATATACCACTTCAAGGAATGAAAGAAAGCTTCTATTATAGAACTCGCCTTCTTTACAAGTGAACTTCTCGATGGTTTAAAAACAAATGACCCCTCCCATATTTAAAGGGTTATTCCACCTCCTCAACGGAGTATTCTAGAGTTTGCTACATCTTTCCTTATAAATGATTATTCTAGACTATTTTATCTAGATATCTACTTGGCAACATGTTTCTATAAAGATCTAGAACATTCCTTGTTGTCCTAGAGAATTCTAATATGCTTAGGCGTCTTTCGGGACATACTTGAGTCCTCCAGAAAAATATAGATACAATCTGTGATAGCTGCCCCTTGAAACCTTGTACCTAGGGGTGCTACCCCTGGACTCTCATACCCACAAGTCCACATTTAACACTCTGAGTGTTCACTGCACACCTCGAATCTCGGATAATATCGTGAAGTAAGCTCGATCAGAACAGTACTCTAAAATTAATAATTAGTTTTGAATTTAGCAATGGTGGATCCATAAACAATAACCAATTTACAGTTCCATATTCATCACCTCCTTTATTTTCACACCATAAACATTAACCCTAATGTTTTCATCCATTGAATGACCATTAAGGTTATCCTCGTCTATGTGAGAACAATAAATAAGATCAATAGATTCTATAATAAAGAACGTGAATTAAATGATAAGAAACAAAGATCAAAAAGGTGTTAAATGCTTTGATTAATCAACTCTAGAAGATTTCTAAAGAACTTCTCTACAAGAGCTTGCAGACGACAATTAGGGTTCGAAAACGTTTTACCCTAATGATTCATGCATGCACTATATATAGTCTAAACTAGCAAAGTAGATCCGAGAATGGACATGACCAAATTGGAATAAAACAAACTATACTATGCATATAATTGACACAACACTATTAAGCCCAAAAATCTCCCCCTTTGTGTCAAATTTCGATGAATATTCTCTGTTGTTGACTTTTCTACACGCTGAACAGTTTCAGCATCAAATTCAGAAGCGTGTTTCGAATAACCAGATAACATTGGATTATATCCGAAAAGCATTTTAGATCAGCAGAATTATTTATCTTATACACTTAGGCCATAGCAAGTATAGTCTTCAGAGCTCCTGTAGAATACAAGTGTTTGTCTTAAAAAAATAATGCGCTCTTATGAACTGCACCATTTACCTTTCTCTGATAAACAAGGCTCCAGTGCTCCTTTTGGATAACTCCTAGCCATTGCTTCTAAAGATCCTTCGGTTCCTCTTCTGGCTTCATAAGCGACATTTTCTTTAGAACTGCCACAATCTCTACATCCATTTTCGCTATTTCTTGAATGTAGTAGATGAGCATCCTTCACAGATGGGCAACAATTTGCTCGTATTTCTTTTCATACTTCAAAACAATATTGAACAAAGAAATCCAATCAAAAGGCTCATATACGGTTAGTCTACCAAAGTGAATTCATCCAAAATTTTATCTTTTCCCTGAAATCCCTTGAACCTTATGTTTCTAAAATCTTCAGTAGGCACAATCGAGCAAACCTTCAACCCGATAATCTTTTTTAAGCTCCATGTCTGATACTGAGGCTTGGCATACTTCAAGTAGAAATTGAAGAGTTTCAGATTCACCGATTTGTTCAAAATTAACGCATTTTCTATCTTGTCAAAACACCGAAACAGAAAGGCCCTGGGAGTAATAGGAAGATCAAATTGAGAATTCGCTTCATTATTCATCTCAAAAGATACCGTAGGCTCAAGTGTCACACCCCCAAACCGAATTGGCAGAAACGTTCGGGGGTGGAGGACGTCATGTATAGTATCATAACAATCCATAATAGTAAAACAAGCAACAACATCCATTGCATTAATATAATAGTTAAATATATGAGTGTTCTTTAGTAAAGTTTAAATGACACAAAAAATGTATAATCAAAGTATTGACGAGTCTTGAATCCACTCCATCCTTTAAAAGTTGCATGGGTGTACCTGTCTACTGGTTCCCTGAGAATACAAGTTATTTTGAAAGAGAGTATCAGCATAAATGCTGGTGAGTTCATAAGTGTTTAGTATCATTAATTGTAATTAAAACCTTGAAATGTTTGTATTAAAAACCTTGAAATGTTTGTAAAGTTTTCCCAGAAAATCATATATTTCCTGCTTATAATGAAAAGTGGCCTTCTACCTGAGACCCGACTATTTACATGCTTGTTTTCGTATAAAATTTAATATTTGCATATATACTTGGAATAGTATGTAAAAATATGGTAGTAATTTATATATGTATAAAAGTATGTTTTTCTCATTTATTACTATCTTTTATTAGGAAAAATAGAATGTTTTAACCCAGCAATACCACTGGTGAAATATGTAATGGGAAAATGAAGATTCATAGTCGTATTAAATGTACTATACGCTTTGGGGAGTCTTATTGCCTTTAAAATCGATTTGGTTAATTAAAGATTTAAGATGTGATTTAGTTGTAGCCATGCTGATTGACTGCTGAATACACGACGACCTTCCGGCGTTGAAAATAGTGAGGTGACATTTTTTCACCCCTTGGCCTTACCGGTTGGGACTATAGCTAGCAGTCGGGGTGTGGGAGTGTCTGTCCCGTATAGATCTATACACAGTCTCTGTTCGAGCACAAACGGACCCTATTAAGCATATAATGACACATATATGTATATACTTAGTGTATATAACAACTGATCATGAAGGGAATCAACCTTAGGGACTAAGGAACACTTGAAACTAAGAGTTACAATCACAAATGATTGCATCAAAGGGGTTTACGGCCACACAATGGTGTGTACTACCAAGAGGTGTGTACGACCCATGTGTATACGTCCATGGAGTGTACGGTCATGGAGTGTACGACCTTACACTTATGGAAGAACTTTGCAAAAGAGGTATTTTATGGTCTTATCTTGCATCCATTAAGTGTTCATGATCCTATGTTGGGACATAAGGTGAGTTTGAGGCAAAATCATGGAATAAACAAGGGTTTACGGCCATAGAGGAGTGTATGGTCGTACACCCTTGGTGTTCATGCATTTGATGATGATTTAAGGCCAGGCATCAAGTGTTTATCAAGCCTAACTAGAATATAGAAGGGATACTTACACTTTTGAGGGTCTCTATGGAGTTCACGACCACCAAGAACTAGGGTGTGTTCTTGGTGAAAGATGAGATTCTTGAAGATCTAGTCAAAGGAGGTAATTTCATAGATGAAATCATAGATCTTCACTAGATAAAGTAATGTATCAACTAATCAATGGAAGAAATGCTTACATTTTTTAAGATTAAGGTGAAAAACTTGATGATAGTTGAGAGAGAATTCGAGTTCTTGAGTTGGAAGAGTGAAAAATGAGGGAAAAAGAAGGGTTGGCATATATATAGGCATGAGATCACGGCCATGATGGGTGTACGGCCGTACACCCATGTGTATGGTCGTACACTCCTCTTGAAGGAGTGTTTGACCCGAATGCAACACTTATGAATTAAGGTAACTCATCCCTAAACCTAAACCTTGATTGTACCAGGCTTATAACACTCAAACAGACCCTAAACAACGCTAAAAAGATAGCAGAAATGAGTCTGACTTTGATTGAATTGAATGTTGTACAAGATAGAAATTTCGGGTTGTCACATCAAGCCAATAGACGCTCGGATCATCAATGGCTCCTTTCTGAATTCTACCAATCGACCATGGAGGGAAGAATGACTTCTGAGTTTCAAGCATAATTTTTGCAATCTTCCCCTCAACTTCTTGTGCTTCTAACGCCTTCCGAAGATTCAGAAGATCATCTAGATCTTTGTATCTCTTCTTTCGCACAAGCATCTCATACTCAGAAAGTTCTTATTCTTCTTCTTCCTCGTCATCAATAAGCTTATCTTTCCCTTTTTTGATGCAGAAGTTTCATTACCCTTCTGATCATCAGTCTTCAGTTTTTATTCTTGTTCATGTTCCTCAGTCGTTTGCTTTGCCTGGGGTTCTTCTTTGTTTTCTCCCCTTGTTTAGGAAGAGTATCACTTCTCAAAACACTTTCTATCTTATTTAGTATAGCAAAGGCTAGTTGTAGTTTGTCCGAGATTTGTTGTCGAACAGAGACTGTGAATAATGAGTCTTGAGTCTCAACAAGGCGATGTAAATACTAATTGATTTCAGAAACACATCTTTTGATAACTGTTTTCTCAAATTCCAAATCATCCATATGCTTGTTTGTATATTGTAGCTTTACTGAAAGAACCTTGGCCTTATGAGTCTTTTCTGCCAACTGATCCATGATCTTGTTTTCTGTGGCCAAGTCCTCCTACAACTTTTCTATCTTGGTAAGGATAGAGGCGTTAAGGTCAGCATTGTTGACTTTTATCATTGCACAAACAACAGAGAGAGCCTCATTCTTAGCTTGTAAGAAATTTCATAACCTTACAATATCTTTATTCACAACTTCGGTGTTGGAGTTAGATGATGCTCTGGACTCAGCCATGAAGACTTTCACCTCTTGAGATAGTTTTTTGACTTTTTCTGTCGTTTCAGAAATAGTCTGTTCAGAAGCGTTAATTGCTTTGGAAGAATCTTCAAGGGCTTTAGCATTTTCTTTTGTTAACATCTCCACTGTAGCCTTATAGGTTGTCAACATATACTCCCAATTGGATGATGATGAAGATTTGGAAGACTCTAAGAGAAAATCCAAATTCTCATTAAGTTGCTTGAACTGCCCTTTCTTAATTGGGGCATCATCATTTGCCCCCGTATCAGATACATTGACATTAATGTCCGAAGTCCTAGTCGCCTCCGGAATGGACTTGACAGTCGAAACTTCTGGTGGAATGGTAATTAATGAAGTGATTGGAGGGGTGGAATCAGTAAAGATTGTGGATGTTAATGGAATAGAGATCTGAGGAAGTGAAAGTCCAATAGAACTTGTAGGTGGTAATGGAGGAATGGATGAGATCGGAATGGTAGTTATGATAGGTGAAAATGGTGGGGTGAAGGGTTGAAAGACATCCAAAATAGGAATAGATGTAGGAATTGGATATGATACCTTCATAAAATTTTCAAAGTACAAGTAATGTAAAGCATGCATGCTTTATGTACGTGGGGGTGAAATAGACCTGATCGGTTGAATAACACCGATTGAGTTGAAATAGACTCGGGGGTGAAATAAACTCATTTGGTTGAAAAACACTGATTGAGTTAAAATAGACTCGGGGGGGGGGGGGTGAAATAGACCCGTTCGGTTGAAAAACACCGATTGAGTTGAAATAGACTCGGCGGTGATTTAGACCAGTTACAGTTTTGTGCTGATATGTATATATGATATGTGGTATTTTGGAGAATTCACTAAGCTCTGTGCTTACAGTTTATGTTTAAAATGTTTTCAGGTACTTCTTGTTTCAAAGGAAAAGGCACGGCTTGATTGCACTGCATCCCCTGCATATTTATCATGTATTGATTGTTTATGATTTTACTATGATGTATTGAGAATACTTTTATTCTGATCGCCTTTTAGGATAATGAATGAATGGTTTTAACTTATTTAAAATATATTTTTTACTTGGAAAATTTGGAACGTTACAGGTGTTTTGAGACCCCATTGCGTCAAATTGATTAACCCAACAAGATGATGGAATGTATTCAAATAGCTCTTTAAAGAAGTTGGTATTTCCTCAACAAAACGAAAATATATCAGTATATAATAACAAACAATATAATATCCAAAATTAATGAACATCTGAGTACTTGGTAATGCAAATTGCATAAAAAGGGATAAATTGTGAATCAATGAATCTCGTGAACACTTAGCGCATGAGCCTATATTTTTTCCCTTTTTAAGAGTATAAAACAATAATATCTCATAATCCATAATGTACTATCTAACTACAAGAAGTGGAAGAGTTTCTTTCTTTGTATGATATGGTTGCATAATTGACTTTGACATGAGCAACCAATGGTTGACATGAGCAACCAATGGTTTGAAAACAATATTAGGTCGTTAGATAGTTGATAGTGAACAACAAGTGCATTTACAGCTAGAATAGTTTTGACAAATGGGATCCACATGGTATTAAGTTTTGGAATCGAGAAAAATCAATCTTCTCATTAATCAACCTTTTAATATTTATACAGGAAAAGCCATTTAAATATGGGATTGATAATCATAAAGATTTAAACAAAATAAAAATAAGATATGATAAGATGATAAGGATAAATTGGTAATTCTCATTATCCTTATTACTCCCCCTCAAGCTGGAGTGTGGAGATCAAAAGCACCAAGCTTGTTTAACAGGAAACGAAGTCGTTCACCATTGAGAGGTTTGGTGAAGATATCTGCAATCTGGTTGTCGGTGTGAATGCTCAAAGGATTTATTTCATGTGATTCAACTCGTTCACAGACAAAGTAACAATCAATTTCAACATGCTTTGTCCGCTCATGAAACACAAGGTTGTTAGCAATATTATGAGCAGCTCGATTATCACAGTATAGTGGAGTAGGCCCTTCAGGTGCAGCTTCTAAATCACGCAGTAACCAACGTAACCACAAGATCTCACTAACTGTTGTAGCCATGACACGATACTCCGCCTCAGCAGACGAGCGAGAAACTATTGACTGTTTCTTAGTGCGCCAAGAAATAGGAGAGTTGCCTGACAGAATGAGGTATCCAGTTCTGGATCGTCGAGTGAGTTCACATCCATTCCAATCTGAGTCACTATAAGCGACCAGATTCAA